ATACACAAAATATGATGAGAAATTAATAAAAATAAGAGATACCAATTGCTTGGCACGCTTGGCCCGGCGGCGGAGGGAGCGGAAGAGAAAGAGAGCGAAGGCGCCGGCGAGAAGGACGCTGGCGGCGGTTTGGAGAGCTCCCGAGTCATCGGTGGCAAGAAGAGAGGAAATTGACGGAGGGAGATCTATGGGTCCCACCTCCGTCGTAGGCCAGCCACGGCGATGATTTGTGGGCAGAGCAACAGAGCGAATACTGACTATTAATAAATTTATTATTATTATTATTGTGATTATACTTATTGGGTGCGTAGGGAAAATAGAGAGAATGGGGGAATGGTAATGGGGAAAGCGCGGGAAAGGGGAAGGAGGCGGAGGGGAGATGGAGGGGCTGCCGGTGAGTTTGCATCACTTTTCTGCTACAGACTGAAACAAATATCTGAGAGAGAGAGAGATGCAAAAAATGTCCAATGTTTTTTCTCGATAAATATCTGGTTCTTAAGATATCATAATATATTATTTTAAGAAAAAAGAATTAGATATTAATATTTTGGGACTGAAAAAGACAAAAGAAATCGCTTAAAACGAGAGATTGATGAGAAAAAGGGAATTCATGTAGATAAAACATGACAAGAAAATTCTGTATTNAAAAAATAAAACAACTGATATATATATTTTGACATACTACATATGTGACAATATTTTGTAATTTTACATGTAACCAATGTTCTAAAAGTCGACCAATGCCTAGCGCCTAAGTGGGGCATAAAAATCAATATTAAATACCTTATTTTTTATTTATTTTAACTACCTACAAAATAAAAATATCTCAACTTATAATAAACCCAAGCACCTAAGTCCAAATAATAATATTAATATATATTAAAGAAAATATGCGAACAAAATAATATAATTAATATTTAAAAAAATAAATTGAAAAATTGCCGCCGAGCCCGCCTAAGAGCGCCTAGGCCGATTTTTAGAACAGTGCATATAACATCATCTTTTTAAAATCAGTTTTTCAAATACTCTCCATCAATAATGTAAACCATAATGTCAATATAATATGTTAAGAAGTGTATTTTTATTTTTATTTTTACTTCTCTCTTTGATGTTATACCTTTTTGTTACTTTTTTCTTTGGCTAGTAGTTATCTGTGTTTGTGGAGGGTTGTCCACTCGAGGGTGAAACGTAATTCTCCCGCGTGTTCTTGTCTAACTAGTTTAGTTAGGCTTTGTTCACTTTGTAATCATTTGATTATGCACATTTGATTTTGGTTTTATTTAAGTTTATGTCGGAATAAACTTATTATTTGGTCATTAAATTTGCTATTGACTTGGATTTCATGCTAGAGTTGGCTCGATATTGTTCACCCCTATACGAACAAGTCAACGAACAAATCAGGTCGTTTGAGTCAAACAGAAGTCTATTATACACCACTATGAAAGTAGATCACATACACATCCACATACGAGAAATCGAACTTTTTTTTTTATCGAACTTGACATAAGATCTTTACAAAAGTAATTTTGTTTTATACACAATTATTGACAATGATGTTTGTAAATCGAAAAATACCGAGACAATTTCAAATTTTCATCAAATATTTAACATGTTTCTGGATTTCCAGGTGAAACGAAAGCTGGTTCCATTTTAAGGAACAACTGCTATTCACGAGGTAGTTTGTTGCAACAATATGCTGGTAATTGGTAATGTACAAAACAGCCAAGTACAACATCCAAACCAATAAGATTGCCTCGTGATGAGAATGGGGTGTATTTTCAGTTGAAATATTTGAACTTATTGTTAAAACACGCCTAATCCATGCTCGTTTTGCCTTGCTGTTGTAGCCCCTATCTAAGGAAATGAAAACAATAGATATCCAAGTTACACAATAACTTGTCCGCATTCAACAATCACCACATTAAAATTGGCCAACCATTACTGCATAACCATTAATCAGCCCTTCGTATTAAGAGAAAATTTGTGAAAAAGTCATATTTTGTCTTCTCATTTATAGATGTATTACTTTAGCGTATTACCATAAAAAAAATTAAAAAGACAAACAACGACCATGATTACCATCAACAAATTTGTAAACACAAACATAAAAATTGATATTATCACAAATATTTCTTTGATAAATAATTATAATGGAATACCATAAACAATATAGTAGAACATTTTTCTATACAACACATCATAAATCGTCTCATTTACTCGAGCTGACCTCAATTACTTGAAGTTCAAGATCACCTCGAACCAACTAGGTTGATAACATTAGTAAGTTAGAAACAAAACTCAACTCAAATTCGCGTCAAACAAATTGAAACTCGAGAGTGACAATCCAAATAAAAAAGTGAGCATCACCAAAACTGAGTTAGAAATCATGCAACTATGAAACCTGTATTTCACTAGTCTGTCGAAATAAAAGACTCCAACACCATCCACAATTCGTATAACAACTTTATGTTATGGCTCTTATAATACATTGAAGATCCAAATTCCATGCTCATTACATACAAACAGCTATATGTCCCGTGTAAATCGTTAAAAAAAAATGGTATAACAACTCTACTCCAAGTGTAAATCATTAGAAAGACCGAACATATTATAACATATGTGAGTAGTGCTTGAATTAATATGGCAAATTTTATTACCACGATCATCATCTTATATTAGAAATAGAACAGAAGCGAGTGGATGAATTTCATTCCATCAAATATCAATGCCTAACCTTTACTGTTACAATGTCAGTGAATCATCGTTTTCCACACAGCAGAAAGAAAGATATATCTCAATTTCACCAGCTGTATCAATTTCAATTGGGATCATATGCCTAAACCGAATCACATATATAAACAAATTAAGAAATTTTACAACAACAAAAAAAAAAAAAAATTAAGAAATTTTCAATATTTCTCTTATTTATCATTTAATTATTATTTTTTTAATTTATTTAATTACGGCGGTCAAGCCGGCCATCAGCACTCCTGGCGCACGTTAGACGCCACCGCCCTGGCCCAGAACTTGATCTGCGCCTTCACATCCTCGGTCGAACGTTTCCCGCCCCACATCACCGGCGGCGCAGAGCGGCTCTGTGCGCTCCAAGCCTCTGAACTATGTAGTCTCCGAACTCTACTGCTTTTCCCTTCATCCTCTTGGATATCCTTCTTGTCCGACAAGCCCCATATCATGCTCAGCTCCTCCTCGTCGAAATCGAATCCCAGATCTTTAAACCCTTGAAATTCTTCGGATTCCAGCTCGATTACGCTTCTCTGCTTTCTGAGTTGGTTCGTCGGACGTTGAGGTCTGGTTATCTTCTCCGTGCCCTCGATTTTACTTCCCTCAACCTCAGGTTTTATTATTGATCTCTGCCTTGTCATGCTGGGACTTGGCGTTAATATCTGCAAAGTAAGTATTTAGGAGTGAAAATTGGGAAAAAAAGGTTTCCTTTTTTTTTTTCAATGGTCACCAGGTGTTTAATAAAATGCGTAAAAGGATTTATACCTTAGTAGAATGTGCCCTAGGAGGCAGAGTGTCCGAATAGTTCATAGAAGCTTGTCTGATCAGTTTTCCCATAGAGAACTCAATTTCGTCATCTTCAAACTCCTCAGGCTCGAGGCTAGTCGGCAGGGATGGAGCCCGGTTCAAACATCTCGACGATTTTTTGTTTTTGTTTGATCTTTTGCTCCTTTGAGGAACAATTTTCTGATCCTTGATCAAACTCTTCCCTTCCGTTTTGCGGTCGCGAATGGACAACTTCTCGATCGAACGGTAGGTCTCCTCGTAAGATTTTTCTGGCAAATTCTCATCTTGCCCGTAGTTTGATGATGTGCAGGGCTCGGAAAGGCTTCTGAGCATCCTTGATTTTCTGTGCAGCAAGTTGTCGAAAAACCAGCAATCTTCGAATAGCTCGCCAGGCTCGACTCTCTCAGTATCGTCTCTGGACTCGTGGTGAGTGTTGTTGTGATCCATGATTGAATGTGATTTTTGGTCTGGTTTT